AAGATTGGCTGGGCTAAGAGGGGAGCACTTCTGATGTCTATGGCTGGGAGTGCCAGAGAGCTGACTCCTGGCAGGCACAGATAAGGATTTCTCATGGGCTGGACAGGTGCTTGAGAGGTGCCTCATAACTCTGGATAATCCCAGGAAACATCACAGGTAGTCTTTGAACTCGCCATTTGTACTGTCTACACAGTTTCTTGCATAACAATCGTACTTTAATCACAGTAGATACAAGTTCACACAGTTGCATCCTCTCTGTTTATCCTGATCTTTTCCAGACTGACAACCATGATAGTTTCTTTATTAAGTGATTATCTTCTGCTGGAAAGAAAAAAAGCAACAACCAATGCTCCTCCTCTTGTAAGCCTCAAAGGAGGCAACTGAAAACAGGCTCCTGTGCAAGCCAGTGAAATCAGGAACTTAGGAAAAGCCTGCCCAAGAAATGTATGTTCTTGGGGCAGGACTGACCTTAAGAATTGAATTCTTTAAAATCTAGGATTAATGGGTATCTATGAGAGAGAGAACTGTATGGGTCGGTGTTATAGAACTACCAAACAAAATCATCTCAAGTTACGATTGAGGGGATATTTCAGCTATCTACAGGGAAAACAGGCTGTTCATCAAAACAGTACCACATACTGTACTTATGAGGCTATAGGACAATCAACAGTGGCTGCAAAACTTTTGCATGTATAAGGCCACTTGAATGGAACTTTGCAAATTGCTTTCTCCGGCCCTGAAGAGCAGCAATACCAGAATGAGACCCGCTGTGACACTTGAGAAGTGAGTGATAATAGCTCACTTGCAACGCCTGTCAGCTATCGGTCAGTTGGGAATCAATTTGGAGTGGGAAATCTACAGTGGGGGCTGCTGTGATCCAAGTAGACAAGGCAATCGATGCCCTTCTGCTATGATGGATAGTGACTCTGGGAAACATGCAGAAATAGTGAAGGGCTTTACCGTGCCTGGGGTTCCCTAACTGTAGTGGGTTGACAGATGGAATGCACATCCCTAGCTTGGCATCCAATCATCTTGCCAAATGGTGCATAAACAGCAAGGGCTACTTCTCGATGGTGTTGCAGATGTTTATGGATCATAAGGACCATTTCACTGACATCAGTGTGGGATGGTCGGGAATAGGGATGTTAAATTTAGAGTAATTGACTAATTTGCAAATTTGATGCAATTTGCATCAACTATTTGATTAGTCGATAGGGCATCTCCACCTTTCAAGTGCAGCAACAGCCCTAAGGCAGTTGCTACACTTCAACAGCAAAAGTGTTGTGGGGAACACGGGGCCAGTGGGTCGGTGCTCCGCTGACCCCATGCTCCCCATGGTGTTTCAAAGCAGCAACGCCGTGTGGAGCCCAAGGTCAGCTGGGGACTCCCCTGCTGACCAAAGCTTCAGTGCCGCATGAAGGCCGGAAAACATCACATGGAGCCTGGGGACTCCTCAGTTGGCCCTGAGCTGCACACGGTGTTTCAAAGCAGCAGACCCCAGCTCCACATGGCATTGCTGCTTTGAAGTACCCCCGCCTCTTCCCCCCTTGCTGCCTCTTTCTGATAGAGGCAACGGAGGGGGAGGGAGGATAAGCAACTAGTCGACTAGTCTCTCACATCCCTAATCGGGAAAGGTACATGACACATGGATCTTTAGGAACTCCAGTCTATTCAGAAAGCTGCATGATGTAACTTTCTTCCTAGACCAAAAAAGTACCATTGGAGGCACCAAAATGCTAATAGTGATATTTGCAGACTAGTCGACCCTTGGCTCATGAAGCCGTGCACAGGCACCCTGGACTGCAGTAAGGAGCAGTTCGACTACAGGCAAGTGCAGACTGGTGATAGAATGTGCTTTTGGACGTTTAAAGGGAAGATTTTGCAGTTTATTGAGTAGGTGAGACTTCAGCGAAAGAAACATTCCTATTGTCATGGCAGCCTGCTGTGTGCCCCAAAATATCTGTAAAAGCAAGGAGGAAATTTTATGCCAGAGAAGGGGGTCAAGACAGATCACCTAACCACTAATTATGAGCAGCCAGACACCAGTGCACTAACGAGAGCACATTGAAGGGCACTGCAAATCAGAGAGGCTTTGGAAAGCAGCTTTTGGAATGACCAGACAGTTATATGACTATCATGTATGTTGCTCTGAATGAGGTGCCCCCTGTAGTAAGTGTGCTGGTCTGTAAACCCCTCCTCCCTGCCCCACAAGCAACCAAGATACTGCTGTTGAGAAATCCTGCATTTTTATTTAGAGAACACAAGGAAAGAGAGACATAAAAGGAGTTCAGGGTGGGAACTTCGGGGGGAAGAGGAGAGAAGCAAGGGAAAGTGACGTCTTACAAACCTCCTGTTCAGCAATTCCAGGTGTGGAAATGACCGCTTTCAGTTCTAGGAGACAGCCATGAGGGCTGAGTGGAAGGCTGCCCTTGACTTCCTACCCCTCCCTCCCCCGCATTCTAGGGCACCTGGGAGAGGATGTCATGGAGCTTGATGAGGAGGGCATATGGTTCAGCATGGGCTGGAGGAGGTTCTGGGTTCCATCCGCTTCTCCTGTGACTCTAGCAGGCGTGTCAGCAGCTATGTTTGCTGCCCCCCACGCCTCAAGATCTCCTGTGTCTTGATTTCACATTTTCTGCAAGCTTTCCTCTCCTCTCCTCACGCTCCGTTTGCATCTCCTACAGCATCGCTCTCCTCCATGGATTTAATTGCACCCTGTCTGTGTGGGCAGATTGCATCTGCTCATTGAACATGTCAACCTGATTATGTTTTTGCCTTCGAATCTATGCTCACCAAACAGCTGGAGGAGTCAGGGGAGTAGGCAACAGGCTCACTGTTGCACTTGCTGTAACAAAAAGAGTGAAGGGAAGACATTAGAGACAATACATTGCAGAATGCAGAAGCTAATCTGTTAGCACCAAGGAACGCCTATCAAACACAACAGGCCTGCGTTACGCACAAGGCCAAAGTTATGCTTTTACCAACTATGAAGCAGGTACAGCCCACATATCTTAAGGAAGCAGCAGGGCTTGGTTTGGTGGCAGGCATAGAAATGAACAGATTGGGGCTTTCTCTTTTGCATCCACTTTGAAAGCATGTACCACACAGTGCCTGCAAATAGCAGCACCCACAGCTGGAGAAGCATCTGCATTTGCAAAGGGGGGCCCTAGTGGTGTGGTGGCAGGACAGGGTGCCATTGCCCATTTGCTGGAAGAGGGAAACTTTCCCCTCCCACAGGAGCCCACAGGGGAAGGAGAGGCTGGGTGTGGCAATAGGTAGGGGGCTCATGTGGTCACTGAGGAGCCTGTGTGGGGGAGGGGGCCCAGGCATGGCAGCAGGGCAGGGGTTCATGCGGCTACAAAGGAGGAAGTGAGGCCAGGTGTGGTGGCGGAGGAAGGGCTCAAACCATTCTGTCCTGGAAGTGAGCAAATGAGGATGTACTGCCTCAGTGGTATCAGCTACCTATCTTCCCCAGCTTCATCCAGGTTGTCACGTGAGATATTGGTCATCTCTGAATCACACAGAGCGATAGGGAGCAGATGCTGACTGAACATGGCCAGAAACCTGAACCTTATTCTGCAATGATACCAGGCCACTTACTGCTGGCATGGTGTGGAAAGGTGTCCTACTGGTGGAGAACGGAATAAGGTCAGGCTCCCCAGAAACCCTGTGAGAAGGATGAAAGCGTTCCTCTATGAGAGCTGAATGGAGATGTGCAGGGAGGATTCCCGCTCTGTCTCCAGACACAGTAACAAGCTGTTCCCAGGAGCTCCCACTGTGCAGGCAGGGTGGCTACCACAGATCACACCCAATCGCCTTAACCCACTTGTAGCATCACTAAAAATGTGAACTCACCAGAAGAGCCTGCCTGTCACCAGGGCCCAGCAGCAATATGTCCTGGGAGGAGGGGACTGTCTCCAGAGTTATAAAAAGGTCCTGGCTGTCAGTGATGTTCCACTCGCCTGATAACCATTCTCATCATCATTATTCACACTGTCCTCCACGCTGCCACCTGAGGCTGCCAGGAGTGTCTTGGGAGGATGCCATGGACTGATTTAGGAAGCTGGTTAGGTCCCACTTTAGGATCGCATGCAGCTGCTCATAGAAGTGGCATGTTTGTGGTGCTGACCCAGACTGTCCGTTTGCCTCCTCTGTCTTCTGGTACACCTGTGTGAGCTCCTTTATTTCCACACAGCACTGCTCAGTGTCCCTGGTGAATCCGTCCTCTGCCATACTCTGTGAATCCTTCCTCCACCAGATATATCAGCATTTCCTTTGCTGATTTGTAGTTCTGCCTGATTCCTCTCTCCACACACAGCAGTGAGGTCCAGGATCTCCTGCACATTTCATGCCAATGTTTGTTTGTGATCCTGGCCATTCATGGCCAGGTGTGCTACTGATTTGTGCTGCCCGCTCTGAGGTCTGCTTGCCTCGCTGGCCAGACAGGAAATGAAATTCAAACTTTCCCTTTTCCTGTGCATCTAGAGAGCAGCAGAGTTGAATATGCTGGCCAGAGCGGTCACATTGGGGCAATGTGGGACACGTCCCGGAGGCCAAGAATGTCAGTTTTCACAGTGCTGTGTTCTGTACATGCAAAGTCGACTTTACTGTTACTCCTCATGAAAAAGAGAAGTACCAAAATCAACTTTAACAGCCCTTAAAGTTGGCAGAATGGCCATGGTGATACAGACTCGTTAGCAAATTGACCTAATGTGGCTAGTTCAACCTAAACTCCTACTGTAAATCAGGTCAAACATCAGGCCAAAATTTACACTGTGTTTTTTGCTGATAGCTCGGTTAAGCCAAACCTAAAGAAAGGATAGGTTTGAACATTATTCACAGCATATAGACTCTATTGAGAGCAGGGTGACAACTTTACTGGCTTATACACAAGGTGTATATTGCGCATAAATAAATTATGCCTGTTTTTTACTCAACCTGTGTTTTCAGCATTTTGCTTTATACTGCTGTAACCTTAGAATGCAGTCAAATTTACTTACCATCAACAAAACTTGGAAATGAAGACACCTTCTTTGTCTGTTAGGAAGTAAAAATAATGCACTGCATAACTATCAAAAGAGCAAAATGAAGTTCAGACCATTAATATAATAAAGATCCATTTTTAGACCTAATTCTTTTAAAATATTTTAATTTTCTTTTTGTAATTTTATATGGCTGCTATTTAGACAATATAATGTTTCTAAATACAATTAATTAATTAATTAATTTCATGGGTCTAATTAAAACATAAAATACTAAAAATACCCAACAAAACTAGAGTGGGTCTGTATTGGAACCCTCCCTGTGCTGGTACAGTGCCTAATCCTTTGTCTTAGTTAGGGATTTTGGATGCTACTTTAATATTAATCAATGGAAGTTCAGTTCACAGACTCCCTTGCAGGCAATGTTATACAAGTTTGAGCATCAATTTCTCTAGTCTAGGGGTTAATTTCCCTAATGATGGAAGAGGGTTTTTTGTTATGCGCAAATCTTCATTTACATACAGGCTACTACTACTATAGTCTTCCTTGTGCACCTTTTAGATAACACACCCCTCAGATTTTAAGTCTGGTCTTTACTTAATCGTCATGTCCAACCCCAAGCACACCCTCACTCTGCATTTTTAGACTCCTTCTTTGCTCCATTATTCAGTGCCACTAGTCCATCTATAGCACCCATCGGGCATCTTTTTCACAGATGACTGAGCAGGTACATAGCTCACCACAGAGGCCACTTGTGAGGCCGTGCATCAGTTGGTCCTTTGGCAATGAATGATGTGTGAATCTGCAGATTGAATTATCCCTAGGAGAGATTATTCCTACAGCAATCCTTTGACTCCAAATGCAGCAATTTCACACGAGAAAGCGATGGAGAGGAAATTAAGTACATTCTGATGTTGCCCTTACTTTCAAAGGCCACAAAAAGCAATAATTTCTAAAATCTCCTTATTTCTGAAGTCCCCTTCCTATATTAGCTGTATATTTTGGGTCTGTATTATAAAAGGGACTATTATAAAAAGTAACTGCCATAGCTACTGGATCATGGAAATTTTGTGGGCTACAAGAAATATGCAGCCATTGAACTGCTTTTACTTCAGAGAGAGAGGGTCATCCTCCTCTTTTAATGAACTATTTTCTGCCCATGATGGGGGAAAAAATTGGGGGGAGGCGAAGAGTAGTGGGAATAGGGATTTAAGGTACTTACCTCTGATGTATTATTGTTATCAACTGGTCCATTTAGGTCAGAACGTTGTTGTTTCCTTGGCTGTTCTAAACCATTGCATACCTGTAAGTAATCAGAAAAACACTTTCATTCCTTTTTTCATGCTCTCCTAAATAAATCACAAAGAAAATAGTCAGCAGGCTAGATAGTTCCTTGAACGTTACTGATTGAGGATATGGTAAGAAAATGACAGCAAATAATGCCCAAAACCATCATCTGCATGAAGGAAAACACCCAGTCCTTAGTGCAGCCCCTGTGTTTGAAACAAAACAGATAAACCCAGTCTATACTGTTCCTCTGAAGCCTTCACAATAGGTCTTATGGGGACATAAGTGATGCATGAGCCTCATGATAGCTCTATGCACAGTGATGAATTACACTCACTAGACATAAAAACAGAGGTGGGCAATAATTTTTGATGGGGGGGCTCTCCAAGAATTTGGAAAGTGGTCAAGGGCTGCACTTCAATACTAATGGAGGAGGTACGGGGTCTGGGATGGAGGCTGGGTGCAGAAGGGAGCTTGCAGTAAGGAACTGGGGTGCAGGAAAGGGTGTGCGATCTGGGAGGAAGTTTGGGTGAAAGAGGCAGTTGTGACCTGGAGCAGGGGACTGGGGTGCAGGATCTGGGAGGAGACAAGGGGCCAGGAAGGGGGGGGCAGAAGGTTTGGGTTATGTGGGGTAGGCGGGCAAAGGGTTGGGGTGCCAGAGGCAGGCTCTGACTGGGAGACTTACCTGCTTGACTCCCAGTCAGCAGCCTTTGCAAGCAGACTCCCTGCCTACCCCAGCCCCGCACTGGCTCCACATGTCATGTGGTTTTTGAACAGCTATGAGCCTGAAGGATGGGGGTGAGGGGAGGGTTCTTTGCAACAGGAAGCTTCCATTGGCTGGGAACAGCACCAAGGAAAAACAAAAGCTAAAATTCCAGCACTAGGTTACAGAAGTAGTTTAATTTGAGTGTTATAGTAATAAAAAGAGGACTTGAGTCTGTTTTTCCTTTCACCTTATTCTGATTTTTTAGACCCTCATGGAACTGGGGTCCTTGAACTAGCTTAATGGCCTCCACACCCTTTGACCACAGTGGGAGTGAAGGGCACTCAAGGGCATGCAAAAATTCAGCAGAGTGGTGCAGGACCTCACAGAAATGGGTATTTCATCTCTGAGAAACAGAACCCTAACACTGACAAATTCCTCCATTGTTCTATCTACAACATTTTAGGCCATGCAAGCCCTAAGGAAAATGCTGGCATAGCGGCAGCAGGATTTCCAGCTTGTCATGACAACAAAAAGAGAAAATCATCAAGCTCCACAGCAGGGAACTTCAAAGCATTTCAGATCATTCCCTTTGCAATCCCATTTTTCTCAGGAGCAGAAATCTTCCTCAGCTTCTGATATATGCTGTGAAGCCCTGATAGTCTGCTGGTACAAGGGGCAACCCTCTTGCCTCAGCTGCCAGGCAAGGGTTGTTGCAAAGCTACACAACACAACTCATACTCAAGCTCTTATCTTAGAAACCTAAAAAAACTGAATTGTATTTCTGACTTTGCTACAGATTCCCTGTATAATTCTGGGGAAGTCACTTAACTTCTGTATCTTGATTTCCCCTGTTTATAAAAGTAGTAATACTTGCATGCCTCACAGTGGCATCATGCAGCTTACCTTATTAAGGTTTGTAAACTGTTTTTATATTTTGGGATTTAAAGTGCAATGTAAATGCAAAATATTGCCAGTTAGTTATTATTTCCAGGTGGCAGTGTGAAAGTTCATTTCTGGACTGCTTGGGTCCTCTCACTTTCTGACTGTCTCCATGCCAGTATGTAGCTGTAGGCTAGAGGGAGTTTCTATCTTTGAATCAGGGACACATTTTTCTCTGGAGGGATAATAGTCAGCAGGGCAAAAACTTGACTCTGTAGGACCATTATAGCGGACATACAAGTTCCTCTAAACTAGGGATGTAAAAGGGTAACCAGTTAATCGGTTACCCAGTAAACATCACTATTACCAGGTGATGCTTACCAATGACCAGTTAACTGGAACCCGACTCAGCAGAAGCAGCCCCCACAACCACAGCCAGCAGCCGGGCTCCATGGTTAATCCGAATTTTTATATATTTTTACATCCCTACTCTAAACTCACTCTCATTTGCTCAATTTTCAGATATGGCAACTTGGTAGGGCATTGTCCTCCCAAGTAAACAAATTGGTCTCAGGAAACAAATGTCTGAACTGCCCATACTACCAAGACTTCTAGGGAGGAGCTTCATGAAGCTTCAAGGGTAACTTTGAGCTAGATAGTGATATATGGCTGTGACAGTCAAGAAGCTTACTACAGTCTCTTAATGTTTATAAATGCTTTTCTGGTTGAGACAAGACCAATCTTATTATGTTAAATGCTTAAATTAATTTGATACAATATGTGCAGCAAAATATATTAATATGAGTGAACAAACATCCATAGTCAGACCACCACAAATATCACAGTCAAATTATGTTTAAAATATTGGGATTAGATAAAAATGCTTTAAGCAGGGGCAACGATATGACTATAATGGCAATGTATAAATCTATAAAAAAGAATGACAGTAAATATATCGATTCAAATATGTGAAAGGGCATTTTAAATTTTTAATTTATTTATTTTAAAAAAAGATTGTCAGTTCTGGTTACTGCATGCTTGGCTGAACCGAAAAACGCATCAGCACATGACAAATGAAGTGGGCTAGAATAACATTTGAGCTGTTTTAGTGAGCATATACTGTATGTGGCAAATTAGATTTCAGATTACTATATACACCAAAAAATAACACCTATTATAAAAAGATACATCTGGACATTAGTCAATCAGACATGGTTCTGATATGAAGAATCCTCTTTGTAGGTAGTTATGCTCAATTTTATTAGCAATTCCATACTATCATAAGACTAGATCTAATTATTTCATCATTTTGATTAGATTTTTTAAAAATGTTTATAGAAGACATTTACTGAAATTGCTGTTTTCAGAAGGGAACTTGAGTTTACTTCATTCCTTTAATGTTTGCAATAACATATTTACTATGTATGTTATATGTTAGTTTGTAGAGGCTATAACGAAGATTAGAACTCATTATGCAGAATCCATAATCAGCAGCTATCCTTTATACTACTTTGCTAGTCAATATATTACCTACACCCATAAATGTGTCTTTATTGACTACTGAACCGCCACACATGATGACTACAGTTTTTCCAGTGGCTCCTTTAAATAATTATGATCCACACTCCTCAGCTCCATTTATACAGGATGTTGAGTGAAAATGATTCTTCTATATGTATCATTTGTTTATGACTTTGATTTACTGTTGTGTTCCACGGCTGACCTATCTTTGGAGTATGGTCTTACGGGTACAAAAGGGATAGTGGGAGGAGGGGGAAGCAGTCCAACTAAAAAACAGGAGCTCACTCTATCCTCTTCTTACCTCTTGGCCTAGGGGAGCAGTGCTCTCCCATGCCTCTTCATTGGCTGATGAATCGAGGACTCACCAGGCAGAGGAATCTGAAGTGAAAAGAGGAGTCTGACGAGTTTCTAGGCCTTGTTTTCTTCCTGCCATTAGGGGGAGCAGCAGCAGCCATACATTAAGAGGTGGTTTCTATTTTAAAGGTATTCCACTCCAGGATTTCCTTTTGCTCCACAGGAAAAAACACTGCCCTTGGTTTAGGTGCCACAGGACAAGACTGTTTAGAAACTGCGAGTTCGGCTCAGTTACCCACATAGTCCATACACGACGAGAGCTAGGAACCAAGCCGTACGTATATGGAAGGAGATTCGCTTGCATTGACACCGGAAGTGACAGACAGCTAAAGCTGTAACATCTACTGAATGAAGTGTGAGGAAACTACCTACAACTGAAGAAAATGATAAAGCACCATACCCTGGAATGGGAGAAATTACAGCTTAAATGGAAACTTGGGATCTGCTAGGATCTAGGGATGTGAACGGGTAATGGTTAACTGGTGCCTGGGAACAGCCACCCGACTGTGGCCTGCTGTGGTTGAAGGGCTGCGTCAGCCCCAACAGGCGTCTGCACTACCAGGGGTGGGAGGTGGCAGCCTACCACACACATCTGGGGCTGGGAGCTGGAACCCAGCCCTGCATGGGGCTGGGAGTGGGAGCCCCATGGGCAGGGGGCTGCTGCAGCCAGGCTGGAAGATTCTCCTGCCCAGGATACTGCTTAGGGTTGCATGTGTCCGGTATTCACCCGACAGTCCGGTATTTTCACCTCCTGTCTGGTAAAAAACTTCAGAGAATACCGGACACCTGAGATGTCCAATATTTTCTGAGTTTTTCCCTGGCCAGGAGGCGAAAATGCCGGGCACCTGGCAACCCTACAAACACTCAGCGCCCGCCCTCCCCCCTGCCAGGCTCCAACACCCGCCCTCCATGCTTACCTGGTTCCCCAAGGCTGCCGGCACAAAATGACTGCCGGCCAAAAGACCTACGGGAAGCAATGCTTCCCCTGTGTCTTAGTGCTCAACTGCTCCCCTGTTCCTATCCCTGCACTCACTCTTAACATGCTGTTTTAATGCTGTTTTATTTTTATTTATTTTTTTGCTTAATAAGTCTTGGATTCCCGCCCGTCCCCCTTTTTTTCTGGCTCAACAACTTTGGTCTCCCCCCCTTCAACAGAATTTTTTCCCAGTTTTTTTGGGGGGGGGCGGGGGAGAGGTGTTCGGTATTTTTGTTTCAACCCTCTGGCAACCCTAATCCTGCTTAGTTAGTTAACTGGTTGAACATTAGGCTAACCTAACATTTAACCGGTTAACGGATCTTACATCCCTACTATGATCATAACTCATTTATAACAGATTTGTCAGAGACTGTCTGGCTTAAAGAAAACAAGTTCTACCACGTAAAGATAGGAACTTATACAGATGCCTTAACAAGATATCCCA